CCGAGCCTGCTATCGAGCCATGACAAACCTCTGCCTCCTGCAGGTACATAAACGCGGGCCTTCCCAGTACGCGCGTGTAGAATTGTTCGTGGTCTTTTCTCTGAGGAAGGGGACCCTGCTGGGTGCTGGAGATGGAGCAGCCTTAGTGGGGGAGAGAGACGTCTGCCAGTTACTGTTCAAGTATATGGGGTGTAAGGCATATGTACCAGTCTATTTGTTTTGTTTTTGAGACAGGTTCCACACTAGTCAATGCTGGACTAGAATAGTCTGTATTCTCTTCATTCGGTCCTTGCAACAACAGCATGAGGTCAGAAGTTTTTGTTATACAGATGACGAAACCCAGTTACAGACATCTGGGTAACTCACCCATGACCGTGCGGCTCCTGAGCTTGGAGTCAGGTCATCCCATTTTTCTCTGTTGTGACCCAGTTGTGCGAATTTGGGCGAGCTCCGTATGGTCACTGGTAACTGAGAGGGAGCCGTTGTTGGCAGGAAGGTTTCTGTGCCTGTGATGGCTGAGGGTGCTCTGGATCTGTCCAAGGCACGGCTGTAATTCTCTTTCGGTTCTGATTGCTGAGTGGACTGAACTTGCTTCAAGCTGCCGTGGTTAGGGTTGGTTTGGGTGTCGTGGCCCTGGCCTGATGGCTGCTTCTGCTGGACTGTGTAGCATTGTACAAATGCCTGTCTTGGTGCCTTGGTGCCCTCTCCTGGCATGCCAGGAGCAGTAGGACTGATTCTAAGGTTGTGGCAAAGACTGTAGCTGTTGCCAGTTCTTCAGGATTCTTCAGTACTCAGCCCTGTCTCTCTTCATCTTACCTACAGTAGAAAGATCTTACTTTTGGGTTTCCTCATGTGTTGCTTAGTCAGACCAGCAGAGCCAGGACAGAGCATGGGAGGGAGACGGGACAAATGAATTGTTTATGTCAGAATTCTGCACTGTGCTGTATAACTCAGGTACTGCACTGACTAACAAAGTTGTGGGGTTCTCTGTCTTGCTCCTTTACTGTGGCTTCTCCCTTTATGTAGATCTGGGGAAAGAATAATCCCTTTATTTAGAAGCAACAGTTTTTATAGCCCACTTTGAACTTTCCTGAGAGAGTGGGATAAAACCCAAATATGCTTGCTAAAATGTAGGACCCTGTGTGTTGTAAATTAAAGGAAGATTCATTTTGACTTTTGACTCAGACTGGCTAAGACTGTCTGCTAATGTGATAGTAATAGTCAGGCTGTAGATTTTGAGCTGTTGAAGAGCTGGCTTTGGATGATTGGTTTTGTGTTTTAGAACAGGTTTTCTTTTCGCCAGTGGTGTTAGATCAGATGCCCTCTGGAGCTGAACTTACACAGTTGTGAACCACCCAGAGTGGATGCTGTGACTTGAACTTGGGTCCCCTGCAAGAGCTCTTACAAGCCGTACAAGCTCTTAACCTCAGAGCCATCTCTCCTGTATCCCTCAGCAGGTTTTCTGATATGGCATTGGCTTCTTAGCATTTTTTTTTAAAGATGTGTTTATTATGTACAGTATTCTGCATGCAGGTACGCTGTAGGCCAGAAGAGGGCACCAGATCTCATAAAGGATGGTTGTGAGCCACCATGTGGTTGCAGGGAATTGAACCCTGATCCTCTGGAAGAGCAGCCAATGTTTTCCAGCCCAGTGTTTTTTTTTTTTTTTAACTACCTAACGGATCATAGCATATTTAATTATTTTTCTCCTTTGCTCAGGACTTATCATATTACTGCTGTTTGGAGCTGAAAGGCAAAGAGGAAGAAATCCTGAAGGCTCTTTCTCAGATGTGTAGCACAGACACAGGTAATCTCTTCCAAAGCCAGGCTCTGCTTTAATCTTCGTCTGTTTATGAATTGGTTGAAGGAATGTCTACTACAAGCATTTTGCAGTTTTAATATCAGGATGTGTGAGATATTTAAATCTTTTTTATTTTTTACATTCCAATCCTAGTTCCCCCCCTCCTCTCACTCCCCCACCCCCCACCTCCCAACTGCTCCTCGGAGAGGGTGAGGCCTCCCCTAGGAAGTCTACTAAGTCTGTCCCATCATCTCCTTGAGGCAGGACCAAGGCCCCTCTCCACCCCACACCCCTGTGTCTAGGCTGGGCAAGGTAGCTCTCCATATAGAATGGGCTCCACTAAGTCAGTTTGTGCATTAGAGTCAGATCTTGGACCCACTGCCAGTGGCCTCATATATTGTCCCAGTCACACCATTGTCACCTATATTAAGGGAGTCTGGTTCAGTCATACACAGGTTCCCCATTTGTCAGACCTGAGTCAGTGACCTCTCACCAGCTCGGGTCAGCTGATTCCGTGGGTTTCCCCATCGTGGTCTCGACTCCTTTGTTCATATTATCCCTCCTCCCTCACTTTGACTGTACTCCAGGAGCTCAGCCCATTGGTTAATTGTGGATTTCTGCATCTGCTTCCATCTGTTTCTGAAAGAGGATTCTAGCTGATATTTAAATCTTTAATGACGTTCCTATGTGTAAAGCAAGACATTATTCTGTGGAGTAAGCTTAGGTAGAAACAACTTGAAACTCACTAAATCATTTAACAAATCTTTTTTGGGAACTTACTGTGTGCCACAGATTAAAAGAAAAGAACCAAAGTTGCTTCTCTCATGGAGACACAGGGGTTAATATTGTGGCTCTCAGGAAGTGGTGCTTTGTGTGAGCACTTGAAGTCTCAGTGCTTGTTTGTGTGTTACAGGACTGACTTTTGCTGCAGTTCATTGCTTGTCTGGGAAGAGGCAAGGGAGTGTCATGCTCTACCAGGCAAATAAGTATCCCAGAGACATGCTTGGGCCCGTTACGTTTGTCTGGAAGTCTAAGACGACCCCGGGGGATTCTTCCGAGGATAGGCAGTTGTGGATCTGGCTTCATCCAACTCTTAAACTGGTACATTGTTCTGTTGCATTCGACTTACTTAATTATACAGTGTGTGGGTACCAGGGATCAAACTCATGTCATCAGACTTGGTGACAATTCCATTTTACTTACCTGCAGAGCCATCTCACCTGCTCACCGTCATGTTTTTCATTACCACTGGAAGACAGTATTTTAGAAACTTCAGTGGTATGAAAGTATGGCTGACAGATTGGTATGACACTTTTATTTGTTTTGTTTTTTGATTTTTTGAGACAGGGTTTCCCTGTGTAACTTTGGAGGCTGTCCTGGAGCTCGCTCTGTAGACCAGGCTGGTCTCGAACTCACAGAGATCCACCTGCCTCCACCTCCTGGGATTAAAGTGCTCCAAGTGCTGGGATTAAAGGCGTGCGCCACTACTGCATAGTGGTATGACACTTTTTTAATAAGTCAATTAAAATTTTGTTTCCTTCCATCCTTTTTTATTTATGTTTTGAGACAGGGTCTGTGTAACCCTTGCTATCCTGGGTTTGCTATGTATACTAAACTGGCCTCAAACTCACAGAGATCTGTCTGCTTCTGTCTCCCAAGTGCTGGGATTAAAGCCATGTGCCACAATGGCTGATATATTTCTTTATTTAAAAAAAATTATTTTTATCTAAGACTATTGAACAAAAAATGGATATATTTACCTTGAACATGATGATCTGATAAATATATACACATTATTTAATGATTGCCACAATGAACACAACCGTCTCTATCAATTTAATTTGTAACACTGCATTTAACTCAAGCATATTTATTAAGGATATATTTCTTTCTTTTTTTTTTTTTAAAGATTTTATTTATTATGTATACAACATTCTGCTTCCATGTATATCTGCACACCAGAAGAGGGCACCAGATCTCATAACGGATGGCTGTGAGCCACCGTGTGGTTGCTGGGAATTGAACTCAGGACCTCTGGAAGAGCAGTCAGTGCTCTTAACCTCTGAGCCATCTCTCCAGCCCCAAGAATATATTTCTATCTTATGTGTGTGGGTGTATTGCTTACATGTATAACTGCATCATGTGTGTACCTGGTGCCCGTGGAGTCCAAAAGAGACTGTCTGATTGCCTGGAACTGGAGTAACTGACATTTGTTAGCCTCTGTGTAGTTGAGACTTAAACCCGGGTCCTCTGCAGGAGCAGTCAGTGGTCTTAACTACTGAGAGATACCTATCCGGCCCTCTGCGTTTAAATTCTGAGGATTTAAAGGCGCTGTTTAACCACTTTATAGTGGGACGCAATTAATGCGTACCAAAAAGGAATCAGAGCAAGTTTGATGAACAGAAGTTTATTAGAAAAAGTACTCAGGTGACGGAGTCACTCCTTTACACCCAGGCCCTGCATGTGACTCTCACATTTAAGGTCTTGCTATGTCACTGACTACGCCCTCATATGCTTGGTCTGCATCATCTGTCAGCACCCAAGAGGGCGTGGCTAACATTTCCCCTACATCACTTCATTAGGCTGTTCTGGAGGAAATGAAAACTACGTGCCAGTGTTCAGAACCTGTCACTTCAAGTGTCTGTGTTCCTGACCCACTCCTGACACCAGCCCAAGAAGAAAGTCAGCCTGAACTAACTGATGACAAAATTGGCAAGAAAAGAAAAAGGAAAGACAATGAAAAAAGTGCTCAACGAACTAAGAAAACTATTGGTGATGGGACTAGAGACCCGTGTCAGCCACGTTCGTGGGTCTCTCCTACCACAGGGATTGTCATCAGGTAGGAGCTGAGTTCACTGTGAGACGAGTGAAGATCTCACTCCCCCCCCCTTTTATTCCTTTTGGGTTTTCATGACAGGGTTTCTCTGTGTAGCCCTTGCTGTGCTTGGAACTCACTGTGTAGACCAGGCTGTCCTGAACTCAGATCTGCCTGCCTCTGCCTCCTGAGTGCTGGGGTTAAAGGCGGGCGCCACCAACGCCCGGCTGTGACTTGTGCTGTGTGCTACCAAATCTGCTATGATTTGTCCCGTCTTTGCCAGTGGTGTAGATGAGGTGTGACCCTAATTGTTCTTAACAATGAAAACCTGGAGTCAGATATTAGACGGTGAAAGCTGGAAGACCAGAGAAGCAGAGCAGCAGCCACTAGAGGCCCTACCTCTATGAAATCCTCAGACTGAAAAGAGACCGAGCTCCTGTCTCCTCCTGCCTAGCTTAAAGGCATATATATATATGTATGTATGTATGTATGTATGTATATGCATGCCTCCCATGCTGGGATCACAGGCGTGAGCCACCACTGCCTGGTCTCTATGGCTAGCTCTGCCCTCTGATTTCCAGGCAACTTTATTTGTCAGAACATAAAATATCATACAACATAGACGTCATCTGTGATGGAAGTTTCTGTTTAATGGTCTTTCCTCAGTGATTTGACAATGGAGATGAATAGGTTCCGGCTGATTGGTCCCCTTTCCCACTGTATCCTGACCTCGGCACTGAGGGCTGCTCCTCTGCACACAGTGAGTCAATGTGTCTTGTTCTTGTGTCTGTATAACATCTGTGTCTCTCATCAGCCCCTCGGATTACTGATGGTAGGCAGGCCCCGCCCTGCCCTCTACTCAGTCTGCAGTGCTTAGCACAGTGAGTGCCTAGCACACAGCGAAAGCTCCTCTGCCTGCCTTAGGTGGAGTAAAGATTGGAACTCAGGGTTGGCTCTAGAGCCGGTCTCCAAACCTCTTAGCCCTACTGCCTGTGTTCTGTGAGGTGAGTGGTGCCTGCTACAAGTTACCCCTTCAGGGGCCTGGGGGCTCTTCCAGCACAAACCATGGCTCTTTGTTGTCATGTCTGTCCTGCATCTATCTAGTACTTGAGATACTCTGGAAACCTTGCTGAATCCCAGTCTTGCCAAGGTGTTAGAGAAGTGTGTGCGTCTTTACCCATTGTTGTTAAGAATGGCTCTGTGGTTTGCTTTTTCTCTCTTAAATTAGAGACAAAGTTAGCAAGAGTGGGAGAGGGCCAGTGTCTCTGTTGAATTGCGCACAAGAGTGTGGCAGTGCTTAATTAAGTAGTGTCTTTGAAAAGCGTGGCAGTGTGTCCGTATATGTGAAGTCTCTAATTAGAGGGTTTAGTCTGGTGGTAATTGCTGTCTTAAGGACAGTTGCATGGCGTCTTCACGCTGCTCTTTGTGAAATAGTTACTCTCACACCCAGAAAACAAAGGGGGTAGAGCTGACAGACCGTGTTACAACTGTGCTATCACCGGGCTACAATGCAGTGACTGTTAGGACTCTCTCACCACAGGTATTAGGCCTGGCTCACCATTTTTCTGCTGAGGCAAAGTTCTTGTTTTCCAGGGGGAAGAGGATGCAGAGGAGACACCCCATCACTGGTGGACTGACACTTCCAAGAGCTCTGATGGAGTTTTCCTTCATCAAAGACAAGAAGCAGTGTTTCAGTTGTTGGGAGGTAGAGAGACTATCTAGTTGTGCTGGGGAGAGTAGCTTGCAGTTGGCCCCTAATGAGTAGTCTCGCTTTTTCATCAAGCCTTTTATTTGTTGTGCTATAACTGGAGAAGCAAGAAAGAGGCCCAGAGTCCAAGATCAAAGCATTGTGCTCATGTTTATGAAATAAAAAGGTCGTTTGCATTCTGAATAACTAGCATTCTGAAGTTATAAGTGGCCAAGCAGGTACTCACTTAACATCTGTAGTTACTGTCCCTTGTATGCATATAGCTGATGTTTGTTCATGTAATATGACAATTTTTATGTCCTTTAAATTTTATTTTGCAAGAAACTTTTTAATTTATTTCCCGAGTGTATTAGTGGGGAAAAGGTGATATGTATTTTAAAATAATTATCCCGAGAAAATAGTTTCACTGGAAAAATCTGAAAGATTTCAAAATACAAAACAGGATTGCATTAGTATGTATTGTGACTTTTTTTACTTAAAACATTTTTATTACATTTATTTACTTACTTGTGTGTATGCAGGTCATTGTTTTTTCACTCAGGAAGTAGACTTAGATCTTCAGACTTGGCAGCAAGTGCCTTTACTCACTGAACCGTTTCGCCTGCCCCGTGGGAGCCTTTCTGCAAGCTTGCTTTTTAATGCATTCCTTCCGTTTCTGTTTTGTTGAAGGGATATCGTCACCAGCGGAAATCCCTGCAGGTTCTATTCTGGGATTGACAGTTAGGGATCCGAGAGTCAATTTGCCTCCACAGCGGTCCAGAGCTTTGCCACATCTGGAAAGATACAGAGGTAAAGTGCTTGCTGTGCTCCTTGTTGGGCTGTCAGGTCCCATGAGGGATCTGGTCTCCGCTGCTGGTGCAGCAGCTGTGCCTGGGTGTTATGTCAGAGGACGAGGTGTGGGAGTGTCCTTTAGGGAGGTACAAACCACACAGCTAACTGTTCTCTACTGTGTGTCTCTTTATTCTCCCAAATGCCTGGAGCTTCAGAATCTTAACTGTGAGGAAGGGACGTGCACCCGCAGCTGGTCTTGTGCTCTTTGGAAGCCTCTGTCTGACCATACAGATGATCCAGGTTCGAATCCTGGCAAGGCCATCCCAGGTGCTGAAGTATCAGACCACGTGGTTCTGACAGGGGCCCGAGAGAGCTACCTAGCCGGGAAGGTGGGACTTGCTGCAATTTCTGTGATGTCACCTTGGATTCACTGTCATTGAAAACACCATTAACTAGGAGAGTAATATGAGCTGGCTTGTGAACTTTGGGAGAAGAGCATTTAAGTGTGTGTCATAACAACTTCACAATTTTGTCTTTAACCTCTCTGCATGTAGTTAGCTAGCTTACTAGGGACCAATAAGTGGCCCTGTCAGAGCTCCACATAACAGGTGGCTGAGAGGATTTGAAGACACCCAGGTAAGTTAGTCACTGTGGAGCCTCAGACTTTGTTGGTTAATGTGTACGGTCTAGTGAAACTGGAAGGAGGCGTGGAGTGTCTCCTGAGGGTTACTTGCCGAGCTGTAATCACCTCAAAGCCACGGGTGAACTCTACACCCCTCTGGCTGCCTCATATTGGCTTTTGGGTGGGCGGTTCTAACATCCTTTATAACAGGTTTAACGTGAATCTCGGGTAAAGGGAGATTAAGTCTGTGGTGAAAAATGATTTAGCTTCCACTGTAAAATCCACCGTGTGTTAGACATTGTTGTGGATTTCGTTACAGCATGTTTTTGTTGCTTTTGTTCTTTGAGACAGGGTCTACCTGGATGCCCCTGGCTGGCCTGTCACCCCCTACGTAGAGCAGGTTGGCCTTGAACTCACGGAGCTCCGTCTGCCTCTGCCTCCTGAGTGCTGAGATCATTAGAACCCGTTTTAAGTACTGTGATTCCTTTGAGGATATATTTTAGTTGATGTTGAGCTACATAAAGAAAAGTGTCCTTTTTTGGGCTGGGGATGCAGCTCAGTAGAATGGTTGCCTGGCATGTGAGTGGCCCTAGTTCAGTCTCTAGTTGTTTTGAGATAAGGACCTTCTTATGTAGCTATGACTGGCCTGGAACTTACCTAACCCAGGCTGGACTTGAACAGTGTCAGTAAACACTTTTTCTCGTGAAGTAGTTGGATTAGTCTTACAACAGTGTTTTTAATATCTCATCTAGGCGGGTACATCAAAAAGGAGGGTAGAGCCGGGCGTTGGTGGCGCACGCCTTTAATCCCAGCACTCAGGAGGCAGAGGCAGGAGGATCTCTGTGAGTTCGAGACCAGCCTGGTCTACAAGAGCTAGTTCCAGGACACCAGGCTACAAAGCCACAGAGAAACCATGTCTCTAAAAACCAAAAAAAAAAAAAAAGAAGGGTAGAGGTACACTTTAGTGGGTTGGGTCAATTAAGTCTGTAGAAGCAGCTCAGTCCCTTGACCTAGTCCAGTCTGTATCTGAAGTTGTTCCCTGCCTGTTTTGACTGGAACCAACAGCAATAGCAAAACTCAGTTTAAACACTGCTAACCTGGAGATTTGTGTTTGCCTGCTTGGGGTAACGAGCTCCTTTTCTTGGATAAACTGGATCTTAGGCATTTTAAAGGAAAAGATTCCTAGGACCCTGACACTGTTCTCATGCTTTGGAGAGGTTTGACTCTTAAGAGTTAATATTGTACTTACCTGGCAGGAGAGAGGTACCATGATCATGAAGGTGGTTTTTCCCAGGGCGAGGCTTATCCTTATTGCACTCCGGATGTGCAGACCCCTGCGATCCCCCCAAATTCGGGAAACTCAGCTGCATGATTTGTGGTGGTGGGAGGGACTGCACTCACGCTCTCCCCTGGGGGGGGGGGAAGTTAATTATTAATGTGTTTTTATAACACCTTTCAACTTCATTAACAGGGCAGTTTACTGTTGTAAGTAAGTGGTCTCTGAGGTGAGTTTTTAAAGTACTGATCTGAGGCTGGAGGTGTAGCTCGGTGAGAGAGCTCTTGCCTAACTTCACAGGGCCCTGAGTTCAATCCCAGCACTGGGAAAGTAGAACGAAACCCTCAAACCACGTTTGTGCAGTCTCTAGCAGTGGCTGATGTGCTCTGATAGACTATTTGAACTGGTCCTTGCCAGAGAAGAGCTTGCTTTACCCTTGCTTGGCCTTAGAAGCAGAAAGTGTGGCTCGGTGGCAGTGAATGTGCTAAGTGTGCGTGTTGTAAGTGTGTACTCACTGCGGCTTGCCTGCACTCACTGGCTAGCGGCAAACAAACCAAAACAGAAGGGAAGAAAGAAAATAGTGAGCTGCACTGTGTGTGTAGGCTCATTTAGAGATTTGTGTTGAAATACTCTTAGGCTGTATGACCTTGGCATCCCAGGGCAGCCGTGGACTTCAGGAGCTCACTCTGTACAACTGTGTTTTCTGCTTCTGGGAAGGAAAAACTAGGCTTTGTTTCAGCAGAAGCTATCCTGTCCCTAACGCTGAGTTGAAGGCTTCAGCGTCCTTGCCCTGATAACCCTTATGTTTTCACAGTGCCTGTGGTTTTGCCTTTTCCAGATGTCATGTGATTGGCTCTCTCCCTTAGTGAAGTGTGCACCTAAAGATTCCTCTCTCCCGTCTTCCTGTGACTTTGTGGTGACTCATTCCTTCTAGTCCCTCAGCAGAATATTTGAAGTTGAACTGGTGCTTTCCTGTGCCTTTGTTTCCTGAGAGTTCTCTCTTGTGTCTACAACTCAGTTTGAATCATACCTCAGTTCTGCCCATCCGGATCTGTGGTGAGCTCCACAGGGCAGCAATCTGGGTCGTCCAGGACTGCTGGGGATAGGCTACTGGCTGTGTGGCCATCCCTGGCACTCAGCACTGAACCTCAGACCTCGCTGCTCTGTCTCCAGGGGAAGAGCAGTTTATAGATGCTCTGCAGCTTTCTTTCTGTCCGGCCATTACCTAGTCACTTGCAACTTATTTTTTTCCCTAGCCAGCAGACCCACACAGGTATGTGATTTTGAGTGACAATGCTCCCTCCCCCTGTTTTTTTTTTTAATTTTTCAGTGTAACAAAAATAAGATTTGAAGGACTTCTTTTCTGTCATGTTTAAGTGACTGGGTGTGGAAGTACCATGTCAGTGTTAAGTGTGCATCACTGGACACCCTCCTTTCTGGTATTCTAAGCACAGCGTGGCTTGCTCAAGAAACAGTACGGTTCACAAGCACTGCTCACTTTAAAGGAATGACGAAATGTGTTTTACAGACAGGATCGAACAGCTCAGTAAAAGTTAGTTACAAGAGACCCTAGGTGAAGGGTAACAGAAGGTGTCTTCTAGAAATTTCATTGTCTTAAATTCAAGGGGCAACCTACAGTTATTAGTATTATAGTTGTGTCTGCACAAAAGTAATTATCAAAGAAAAGTGTTGTTATTTCATTGACTAGGAAACCAGTTGTCAGAATAACTTAGTCTTTTGTCTTCTAGTTCAGCAAATGCCTATGAAATAGTTTCCCTTTACCACAGTCTTCCAGCATTAGAGGTTGATGGGGTGAAAGTGTGGTTTGAAGGCTGTTTCTTTTCCCTCTTAGATGATGAGCAAGTCAGACAGCTGCTCCAGGAGGGTGTGCCCTTGGAGTGTACGCATAGCTTTATCTGGAACCAGGAAATCTGTAGCAGTGTCACAGAGAATAAAATCCCGGATCAGGTAACTAATGTGCCAGGAACTACGGGTAAGCTCACAAATGACAGGGGAGTCACCATTGTAGAGACCTTGCAGAATGATTTCATTCTGTAAGTTTCACCCCGCCCCCTGACAGGGTTTTTCTGTGTAACAGCCCTGGCTGACCTGGCACTCTCTCTGTAGACCAGGGTAGCCTCAAACTTACAGAGATCCACCTGCCTCTGCCTCCCGAGTGCTGGGATTAAAGGCGTGCGCCAACGCCTGGCTATTATTTATATACTCTTTACTGTGATACTTTGAATTGTTTGTTTTAAAGAATAATTTCTAGAAAAAAAAGACCTTTTCCTGAAGTGAAGAACCGTGTGGCTTAAATATATCCTATTTGGTCTTAATTCCCTTAAGTATTCTGTCTTTAAGTTCATACTGTGTGTGTGCCCACCAGAGCCAGGCATTGTGTTAGATACCCATAGGTGACTTGGGCATTAGGAAGTCTAAGATTCCTTGGGACTTTGAGGCTGGCTTGCTGTGTGAAGGAGCTGATGTTTGAACTTACTCTCTGATGGGAGCTAGGCTTCTTGGGGGCAGGCGTGTTAGGAAGTAAGAACAACATGAATATGTAAGTTAACTTTGAGTCTTCTGGTGTACCCCAGCCCAGACAGCAAGTTTAAGATACTTTGGCGTTTTCCTACCAATGCCTGCATATAGAGGAAAATCTTTATAGAAAGGATATTTTTACTTATTCTGGCTCAAGTTTGCTTATTCAGAGCCTTTTATTTTCCCTCTCTTTTTTCCTTTAGGTTTATTTTTGAGACAGGGTTTCTTTATAGCTTTGGAACTTGCTCTGTAGACCAGGCTGGCCTCGAACTCACAAAGATCCTCTTGTCTTCTGAGTGCTGGGTTTAAAAGCATGCACCACCACTGTTTGGCTTGCTTTCCCTTTTAAAAGAACATTTAACTTTTAAATTTGCTCCTGTGGTGATCTAGAAAGATCATCTGTAAGGTCTAGTAAGATTTAGAAGACAGTGGCTGTTTGTATTGACCTGTTTTCTTCCCCTTTAGGATTTAAACCGGATGAGAAGTGAATTGCTGGTGCCAGGGTCACAGCTTGTTTTAGGGCCTCGTGAATCCAAGATACCTATCCTTTTGATCCAGCAGCCAGGAAAAGTGACTGGCAAAGATCGCCTGGGCTGGGGAAGTGGCTGGGACGTCCTGCTTCCCAAGGGTTGGGGCATGGCTTTTTGGATCCCATTCGTAAGTTGCCTTTTGATCTCAGCTACTGCTTGCAATATTTAAAACACGGTGATCAGCATCTTAACTGTATAGCTGCTCTGAGATATTCACAAGCTTGTTTTATGTGTTGATCCTACCCTTGTCCTACATACCCATGCCCACCTGAGTTCAAGGCCAGCCTGGAATTATAGAGTGACTTCCAGGACAGTCAGGGCAGTTACACAGAGAAAGCTTGTCCCCAAAAACAACTTGAATCAGTTTGTGAGCTCAGCTTTTACAGAACTATAGAGCGTACTGTTGTGGTTTGCTAACTATGAGCATATACTGCTCCTGTTTCTTAACCGTAGCTAAGAGGCATGCCAGTGTCAGGCTGCTAGGTTCACACAGGTAGTTAATTTTTGACAGTTACGCCTAACGCAAGGAGCAGTCTGTTAATCATTTAGGAAGGGTTTTTCTTTTTCTTGGCATGTTTGTCATTTTCTTCAGCCTGAGAGTTGGACTTGAAGGTCTCAGCGGGCTAGGAAGCACTCTGTCAGTTAGCTTCATTCCCAGACAACAATCAGGCGTTATTTCATTCACATAGAAAAGAAAAGGTCCTCTCACCTACCGAGTGGCTGTGCACCCTTTGCCGGCCATTCCCCCATGTCCCTCACACCAGTGTCATCTCTCCTAAAGTAACACTGTTATGATTTCAGCATTTGTCATGCCTTTACCAAATGCTTTTATCTCTGTAAAGTACGTTTTTTACTCTGTCTTATTGTAAATATGCTTCTGCAACCTGTTGTATTCACTGGGTATTGCGGTTGTTTTCCCGTGTTGGTTGACGTTCCGCTCACATTCATTTAAACTGCTGTGTGGTGCTTGGCTGTAGGAGTATCCTAACATGGGTTTACCAGTTACCATCTGATGGGTTTTTAGGTTATTTCTCATTTCCCCTACACAGACAGTTAAACAATTTTCTCGCTTCAAGTTAGTAAACTGACAGGGCCTCTTGACATTTCTCCTAGATCTTCCGAGGTGCAAGAGTTGGGGGTTTAAAAGAGGCTACGGTGCATTCTCAGTATAGAAGGTCACCTAACATCCCCGGCGATTTCCCAGACTGCCTTGCTGGGGTTCGCTTTGCTGAAGAACAATCTAAGGATCTTCTGGAAAAGTATAAAAGGTAAGGAAGGAGCTGCCCTTCTAGTCCGTCTCCGGGGACAGAAGCGACTGCTTGAATTGCCTAATGGCTTAGGGATCGCGCAGTAACCCTGTGCATAGTGCAAGCTTCCTCTTGAGTTCTGTCTTATCAAGAGGTGGATAAGAAGATAATGCTTTGGCCAGGAGTTCCTCTTTTGGCCTTTGAGTCCCTTCTGCTCCAGCCCTTCTTGTGCTTACTTTCTGATTTGAATGATGGACAGCTGAACTGCAGACATGCATGTCAGATACTTGCTAATAGACCTGGCCTCCACCTCCGCTCTTGTGGAAATTGTGTTTTAAATAGTAACTGATTTGTAAGAGCTAATGAAAACATGGAGGTAGGTAAAACACTTTAAACCGGTACAGTGCCATCCGAACAGACATGCACTGTTTTTTTTGGGGGGGGGGGGCAGTTTCGAGACAGGGTTTCTCTGTGTAGCTTTAGAGGCTTTCCTGGAACTCGTTCTGGAGACCAGGCTGGCCTCGAACTCACAGAGATCCACCTGCCTCTGCCTCCCTCCCGAGTGCTGGGATTAAAGGCGTTCGCCACCAACGCCTGGCGACATGCACTGTTTTTAATACTTTAGTATTTATCCTTACTGCCCTTTTCTTATCTTTCATTGGAAATGAGTGAATGAGAGCCATAGGAATCTGTGTTCCATCAAATTGTTGGCTTCTGGAAGCACAGAAACTGTCTCGTGTGTGGTGCTTGTGGATCTAGCCATGTTTTTGTCTGAATCACTCATTCATTCAACATGTTTATTTCAAGCCTACTATTGGACCCAGTACCACTCTAGACACCATGACTCTCGAAGGCACCGACAGGTAGACTTAAGTCTGTCCCTGACTTTACACTCTATTCTCTTTTTGAATAACCAATGGTATCTTTTTGATAATTTCATACATTGTGTTAGCCCCCTCCCTATTCCTACTGACCTTCTTCCCAAGTCCTCCTCCTGTTTTCCTGTCCTGTTTTTTTGACTCACTGAACTTAATTAGTGATGTCTGTATGAGCCTGGGTATGGGCCATTTACCGGAGCATGGGCAACTTAACAACGGCTACACCGCTGAAGAGAATGACTTCCCTTTCTTGGGCAACTATTAACTGCCAGTAGCTCCTCGGAGAGCCTGGAGAGCCCTCCCCATATCCCTGCCGGACTTTTGACAAGCTTGATCTTTGCAGGCCCCGGGTAGACAGCCTGTGTGTCCCATGACTGCTGTGGCTATGCCGTGTCCAGAAGACAGTACTGCATATCACTCACCCCTTGCCTCAGTTCGG